GGCCCTGTTACCTAGCAGTAAATAGGTACCTGGGAGTTGGGGGGGGGGGAAGTTGATTGATAGACAGTTGAGAGGCGGGCCGAAAGAGCAGAGCTCAACCCCCGCAAGCACAACTAGGTGAATACACGCACACAAAATGCGTCAACGTAAAAACAAACAAACAAGAAAGCAAATTGCAGTGAGCAAAATGAACACGGACAAATTAAGTCCCAAAATGGCAACAGAAGTGCCACAATGGCAACACTAAAATATTAAGATATGGCACCATGAGACAAATATTAATTATAGATGACACCATTGCCAAGCATTTTTGCCTAATGGGTCCTGGAAGCATAATATTATGGCGCTAATCTGTGGTATATTGACGAACTTTGAGACATATTTTTTGTGAAATATTTCAAAAATTTCCCTCTGGAATTATCATGGTCCTTTAGGCACTCGGTGATCTGTTATGATGGGACAAGAGGCTACGAAGATGGAACAGGGGCAGGCAAGAATAAAACTGGAAAATAAAGAGAAGGAAGATAAAGAAAAAATAATTTAAAGTGAACAAGCAGATAAGGAAAATAATACTGGATGAAGGTAACTGCTTGATACCTGCTTGATGGGGTTCTGGGAGTTCTTCTACTCTCTATGCCCGGCCCGAGGCCAGGCTTGACTTGTGAGAGTTTGGTCCACCAGGCTGTTGCTTGGAGCGGCCAGCAGGTAAGGTGATTATTTGAAAGTGCCATACCATTCCGACTATACAGAATGAAGTAATACTGAAGAAATGAAAGCATGAAACACCAGGAAATGATGAACGAAATAAGAGAAAAATAAATGATAGAAGAGAGCGAGAAGAGAAACAGAAACTACGAGAGAGAGAGAGAGAGAGAGAGAGAGAGAGAGAGAGAGAGAGAGAGAGAGAGAGAGAGAGAGAGAGAGAGAGAGAGAGAGAGAGAGAGAGAGAGAGAGAGAGACAGAGAAAGAGATATATTTATTGTATTGAAATTAATGATAAGCTAAACAAGAAAAGCGTTATAGCTGCAGTGTAAATCCTGATCCTCCCTGTGACCCTGATCTACATTTACCTTGACCTTTCCGCTGGGCCTGACTGGAACGCTTGTTGCGTGGATCCTCGTCTCTCTGAACTCCTGAGAAGCTGACCTTTTCCCCAGAACATTAGGCCTGCCAAGGCCCACGCCCCTCAGGTTCAACACAGCCCATTACGTTATCGCCCAGATCTCTCCGTCACACCCAAAGAAGAAACGAATAAATAAGGAAGTGAACAAGAGACAGGGAAGAACAGGGGGTCTAGAAAATGAATGTGAAATGATAAAAAAGGAAAAGTGCGATGAAGGAGAGGTAGAGAGAGGAGGAGGTCCCATGAGTGAATAGGTATGGAAGAGGGACATTTAACACAGACTGTCACGAAAAGAAGATATCACTTTTGCGAACGACACCAGGATCCTACTCTCACCAGGATTTTGACGAGAGTATAGACAATGTAGAGGCTACAACACAATTCCAAACTGATGTAAATTACATTTTAAAATAGGCCACGGAAAACATGACGATGTTCCAGGAAGACTTCCAGCTCTTCCGCTACTGTAAAAATGAAGAAATAAATACAAGATTTAC